TGGGGAGGTTTGAATTATCCGGGTTCATGTGATTAATTATTTTATACGGTACAGTACTTTAAAGAAAAGTATCCATTTTTTTTCATAGGCCAAGAACAACGACAGGTCGTCCTCTCAGCGGAGTGTTGCGACCCGGAACCCAAAACACGGAAGTAGCGAGTGGCTCTAAGGCTCTGGAAACTGCCCTGAGAACCGGAAGAACAGCCAAGACGGCTCGACCTTGTTCCGCAGCTTCCGGAAGACACGTGCGACTTGGAACGGCGTCCATGATTTCCCAGCCCGATGGTCCCTTTATAAATATCGCTCGCTTGAACTTGTCCAAGTATTGCTCGGATGCTGGTCTGGCGAAACCGTTGTTTGAGTACATTTTGTACCAAGAAAACGACGTCAAGATGGTACGTTGTTATTTGACTTTCATGAAAAAAATATTTATTTTTTTGCATTTCGTTTCGCGATTTGAAAGAAAAATTACGCGGGTCAATAACTCTGCTTTAAACCTCAGTTCCTCTAACTTTTCAACTGGTGGAACACTTTTATCGCCATTTTCCATGGAAAAAGATGTTGGTGTCAACGAATTTTATGAAGTGTATCGAATTTTATTTCGAGTTCTGGACGTGGTAGGTATCCCACCCAATGCAGTAAGATCTCGTTACATTGAAGCCATTGGGACCTGGAAAAAAGGTTGAATAATGATTCGTTAAACCGCAATTTGTGTAAAATTTCGTTTATTTGGCAGAGACACTGAAAATAATAATTTGTTATAATCATTGATTCTTTTTTGTGTTGGGATTCTTCAGTTTGAGTATGTTTCCTTGCATTTGTTTTTAATCGTGTGTCCTTCGAGTAGCTGTGAAACCTTTTGAGAACTGCAGGAGAATTCCTTGGGGATCAGCTGAGCACTGCTTTAAAACCTCGGAGACCTTTGACTCATTGTGATTGAAGACCGCGACGAAAATTGGGTGTTATTTCTCGGATCTTCACACATGAGTTTCGAAGAGATAGACAATTTTTGCCACTTGTTCTTGTTCGTCCGTGGATTCTTGTACCCAGCGCAACTCGCGGTGTGACAGACCAGGCAGAGCCAGTTTTTCCGCCTTCTGCATGTGATTCCCTTCAATCAATTGCAACTTGTATTTCAACTTCTGCGAGGCAGGAACAAAATTAAATTTTGAAACTGTACTGAAATTGAAAATTTGGAGGTTCCTTTTTTTGTTGTTAGAAGCAAGTTCAAGTGCAACTCACATAGAAGTGTAGCTCAGGGATCATGTTCTTCACTTCATGATGAGCAGCCCACTCCATGGCAGTCCAGTTGATGTAAGGAGCCTCCATGTCTTCAATAGACACCAGTCCTCTTCTCAGAAGATTCTTGACAGCAAACCAAGCTCTGAAAAAGGCTAGTTCTCCAAACCAAGAAAACCCTGGCTTCATATCAAATGAGACCTGGGAAGGAAGCCCCTATTCAACTTGGTTAAAAAAATTGAAGCTTTTAACAGGACACTCACAAAGTCTTCTTTGGCACTTTTTCTAGATATTCCTACCATGGGACTCATGGTGCTCTGTGGAAAAATGAAGCAAATGATCACAATTGAACCCCTATGAATGATCAATAAATGCTTTCTTGGGCAATTTTGTCCATACCTGAAGGATATTCAAGTACTGTAGCTTGTGAATTTACACTGAATATTAATCAAGTACAGTTGAGCCTATTAGAGTCAAATTCAAGGAGAAGGACAAAAAATTTGGCATGGGGAGGTTTTGAGATTGAGAAACTACCGTTTTTGGCTCTAAAAATAAACGTTCAAATTAGTGATAATTTTTTGGCCTGAAATTGCTTTGTAGAGAAGTTGACAGAAGTATGAATCTTCAGTCAAGAGTTCATTTGCCTGATTGGTCTTTCACTTCCTTTCAGAAAGCATCAAGCTACATTCATGTTGCTTTTCTCTTCACTGGGTCACAAAAATAGTAGCCAAAGGATCTCTAAAAATTTTGATTTATAGAGGTTTGAGGAGATGAAGCCTTTGAGTTTGGGAGCCTTATGTGAAGACATAAAAAAGAAAGAGGATTAAGACAGGGACTTGGAAGAATTGAAATTAGGAGTTACTTTATTTGATGTAGAGAGGTTTGAGGTATCCATGTTCAACTTTTTTTCTGGAAATCTATGCCAAAAATGTGGTGCGTGTCTAACTTGAATGCAAATTGTACAAAAATATTTCTGTGTGTACATGATACAGTACTCTATTCAAACCATAGAATTGCTTTTTTAAAGTCAAAAAGCCACAAGTACAAGCATTTTAAGATAACTTCCTGTCATTCCATTTGGTTTTTTCATATTTTCAACTTGCACTTGATCTAAAATTCAAATTTTCAACAACAGGTGGTTCCTTGCAATTTGACCCTAATCCATTGCCAAACCAGTGTCCAATTGCAAAGTGGTTGAATTGCAAGACACTTGGTGAAATTCAAAAATGTCAGTACAAAAATGCAAAAAATGTTGCCAAAGCAGGTCAAATTGCAGGGCAAGGGTTGATGGCAATTCAACTCCCTGAAAATGCAACTGTCAAATTGTAGGACGTTGAATTGCAGGAGGTCAAATTTCAAGGTACCACGTGTATTGTTGATTCAAAAATTGAATGTGTTGATCATACACATTGATACATCATTACCAAAAATTTTCTCTCAAAAATCAGGATGTGGTGCATTATATTTGAGTAAATTTGGTATACAGTATTTTGATGAATAGTCACAAAATCCTATTATTTGCAGGAAACCTATTATTTATTTGTTATCCTGTGTAAGGCTAATGTATTTCCTATTGAAAAAGACCATCACTTGATTGGTGCAATGGAAAACAAAGAATGAATCAAGTGCTGGACTTTGAATGTCTGAAAAATTTGTAGTTTGAATGAATTAGCATTTTGTTGTAGGTGTGTTTGTAATATTTTGCTCCCCAAAAAGCCAAAACTCCAAGAATACAATGTTCTACCTAACTTCTACCAATGAAAAGCTCAAAAATCTCTGCAGATCAGTGAATTTATTTCATTAGTTTTGGTTGAGAAATCCATATTCTAGTATGCAATATTGAGGATAGTTTTTCCTGCAAAGATGTTATTTCCCAACAATGGATTTTCTGTACTTGTGTGGGAAATTTCATACATGTCTCTCAAATATTTGGAAAATTATCAACTCACTGGCACAGGGACAAACAGATCATGATGTTTTTTCAAAGCAATGACAGCATGAGTCCAGAAAACCCCAAGAATGGTGTCCACTTGAGGTCTACACCTCACTATCTTCTTCCAGTAAAACCTTTGGTTGAGTGCAGCGCAGAAGTGGGCAGGCCGGGCCATGTAGTGTCCATAGGTGTCCACATCCACACCAACTGACAAAAGGGCCAAGAACAGCCTTTTGCCCTTTTCACGCTGAACTCCAGTCAGCCTTTTGTTTGACAGAAAAATGTGCAGAACGTTGTTGAGGGACTGTTGATGCTTGGAAGCATCTAAAGTCAGCCTCAGATTGTCCAGGTAATTCAGGGCTTCAAAGTTTGTCACAGCAAAATCTGGGGAAATAGAAAGATGGTTGAACCTCTTGAGAGTCAAACTTCAAGGGACCTGCAGAAAATTTCAATTGGGAAAACTTTTTTTTGATGGATATCAAAAATAATCTGAAAAATTGAAGATCTTCTGGACCTTCTGAATGAGTTGATAGAATGATGAACTTTAAGGAAAGGGTTAATTTCCCTAATCAGTCATTCACTCCCTTTTGAACTGCATCAATTTTTATTTTTTATTGTGTTTCTTTTTCCTGAGTATCTGGAATAATACCCCAAAAGGCATCCAGAAATTTAAGTTCGAAATGTTCTATGGTGAAAATCTTTAATTTGGGAGGGTCATTATATACTATTCCTGAGGGAATGTATGCTGGATCAAATAAAAAGTTTGACATTGGGAGGTTTGAATTATTGAGGTCCAACTGTATCAAGAAAATGAAGCCCTTTTTCAGTAACTTATTAATCAGGTTTGGCAGTCTAGTGTTTTCTTCAACAGATTCCTGTTGAATTTGATGTAAAGGGTATGTTTTCTTGAGAAATGTATTTGTCCAATTTTAGAATAGCTTCACTAATTTTCACTCACCCAGCTTGAAATGGGGACAAGAGAAAGTTGAAAATGCACTCATCAGTGACAGAAACTAATATTTGCCTTGAACACTGGCATTTAAATGTCCTGTATACATTTTCAGGACATTTAAATGCAACCAGTTATCTCATATAGTTTTAAAAATCTTTTCAGTTTCTAAGTTCCAGATCATGAGCAATGTTACAATGGGAAAGTTTTGTTCAATTTTGAGAATTTTTTATTCTGAATGACAAGTTCCTCAAGTGATTTTGAAAATCTTCTCAACAACTATTTTCCAGTTCATAAAACTAAAATATTGTATGTTACCATGGGAAACTCATAATTTTTGTGAATTTTTATTTGTAATGTCACTGGTACCCCAAAATTTTGTTTAATTTTAGGGGTGACTTTGGTCATTTTTTGCTTAGAAATTGCCAAAGTCACCCCTTCTGGATACCCAGGAAAAAGAAACATAAGAAAAATACAAATTGATGCTGTTCAAAAGGGAGTGAATTACTGACTGGGTAAATTGACCCTTGCCTTCAAGTTCAGAATTCTATCAACTCATTTATTCTGGAATAAAAGGCCCAGAAGATCATCAATTTTTCAGATTATTGAACAAAATATTTTCAGAAAATTGAGACTTGATCTGAATATTATTACAGCTGTTCAATAGGCAGTGATTATAGAGAAATTGACTCAGAAATATTTGAAAGGACTAACTGAAGTTTTGAAAGATTTCTGGTATATTGCATGGACTATTCAATGCCTTCACTCACCTGAACCAACGTTTGCCAGCAGCATGTCCAAATACTGCCAATTTTCTTTGAAACCCAGTTTCCACACATCCTCTTGCATGATGAACAAATAGTCATGCAACATTCCAATGTCTTCCACTGAACTTTTCACCACAAACATGGGTCTGGTGTATGCCCATTGGGCATCAGAATTAATCTTCTCAAAGTAGTCCATGTACGCACACCCGAATATTTGCACTGAGCAACTGAGGGATGGGCAAAAACTCCCTCTCTATATTTGAAGTAGATGCCAAAATGGCAACCCCGCATTGGAATGTGACCCCTTTTTGCTTCTTGCACCTGTGTAAGCTACTTGAGGAATTCCAAGCAATGGTATGCGTGCCTTGTGGAAATAATAACACTTGGATATTGACTGAGAAACCTGGCTTCATTTCTCAGTACAGTGGAGCCAGTTCCTCTGTATTTTGAAAAATAAAAGTTTTACAAAAATTTGTAATTTATCAAGAGAAGGTTATACTGTATAAAGATTTCTCATTTGAAATTCAGAAAACATAAATATGGGCAACACAACGCAAAACTACATGTTCTTCAAACTCACATGGCAAATTTTTAGCTACCCTATGACAATGGTTGAGAACTGAAAAATTTTCATTTTTCATCATGCAATGAATTGAAAAACTTTTTTTGGGTATCCAAAAAAAATCCAGAACCTAAGAACATCTTGAGCTGTGTTTTGATTTTTTTTTCACAATCACACCTACTCTTGAAAAATATGAGGTCGCGTGCAATTGTGACAACCCTCGGACGTAAGTCTTCAAATTATGCTTAAAGTTTTGTCGTTTTTGAGGAGCAACTGAGCTGAATAATTACCTCGATTTTCTGTTGATTTCTATAGGCATTGGATTTGGCCGCCTTGGCCACAGAAGCCTGTGAATTCAAAGACTGGTGGTGGAAATACCAACTGGGCAAGTGCTACTACCGCCTCGGATTGTACAGGGACGCCGAAAAACAATTCCGATCCAGCATCAAACAACAGCCCATGATCTCGACTTATCTTCACTTGGGCCTGGTTTGCGTTCGTCTGGACCAGCCCCTGGCCGCAGTTGACGTGTACAACGAAGGGCTGGAGAAGTTCAACCGGGAAGTGAGGCTGATGACGGGCATTGCGAGGATTTACGAGGGACTCAACGAATTGCAGAAGGCTGTCAGGGTTTACAAGGAATTGCTGGTTTACGAAGCTACTAATGTGGAGGCCATTGCGTGCGTTGGGTTGCATCATTTTTACAATGACCAGCCCGAGCTCGGGCTTAGGTTTTACAGGTGGATATTTGACCCTTTAAATAATTTTTTTTTTACATTTGTTACGTGAAAGTGGGGATTTTTAAAAATCCCTGCATTTTACGTGTTTACCTGATTAACATTCCCACATTTTACCCCCTCAAAATTTAGAGGAAATATGAAGGGTGAACAATATTTCGTTTTTACAAAGTTAAAGAGTTTAGTTGTGCATTATATTGACTCTAATTAGGAATTTCGGACCACCTTTCAAAGGAAAATGTTTTCATCAAAACAATTGATTAATTTGATTCAGAATCCCTGAATTTTATCTTATTTATTTGAGTACCACGCACGCTTTTTTTCTCAAAATTGAGAGGAAAAAGGAGGGTGTACGATTGTTTAGATGCGAAAAATTCGACTTAGCAAGGTTTTGACTTGAAAGTTGGTGCATGTTGAATTTTTTATAATTGCAAAAGTCTTGGTGATTTGGAATTTTTTGAATCCAATTTTTTGAATGAATTTGAGTTTGATTATCGCTAGAATTGCCAATGTTCGTGTCTAAATTATTGATTGCATATTTTTTTCAGACGATTGTTGCAGATGGGAATTTATAATGCCGAGATCTACAACAACATCGCCTTGTGTTGCTTCTACGCCCAGCAATACGACATGACGTTGAAGTGTTTCGAGCGAGCGCTACACTTGGTCTCTGGTACCG